TCCATCCATCCATCCATCCATCCATCCATCCATCCATCCATCCATCCATCCATCCATCCATCCATCCATCCATCTTCTGCTTATCCAGGGTTGGGTCACAGGGGTAGCGGCTTCGGTAGGGATGCCCAGACATCCCTATCCCTAGCCACTTGGGTTAGCTCCTCCAGGGGAATCTGCAGGTGCTCCCAGGCCAGCCGAGAAACATCGTTTCTCCAGCGTATCCTGGGCCTCCTCCCGGTGGGACATGCCTTGAACACCTCACCAGGGAGACGTCCAGCAGGCAGAATTTTTTTCTTTGGATAAACTTTACATGCACATGTGCACATTCACATTAACTACAGATGCTTGTTTCCAGGTAGTTAGAGATTCACTTCCATACAGAAAGTCCATATTCTTATCTTCAGGTAACACAGAATACATGTTAGATTAAATAATACTACTTAACGTTCAGCAATAGTATCTAGGTGTTACTTTGTTGTATTCTTGTACCATGTCTGTCAGTTGTGCTGTTCTTTTTACATCTCTTTGCAGGTGATGAAGCAGTCTGAAAATGTTTATCTCCCTTTTATCTCCTCTTTCTTTCATCTTTTCTCCTTTTTCCGTTTTTTCCTTTCCTGTTCTACCTACATTGCAGTGTCAATATAATCTGTAAAACTCCCTGCATAATTATAATAAAGCTTATTCTATGCATACATCAAGCGGAACACTATGGCAATAGCCATACTGCTCGACTTCCATCCGTCATCCATCCATCATCTTCTGCTTATCCAGGGTCGGGTCGCGGGGGTAGCAGCTTCAGTAGGGAGGCCCAGACGTCCTTCTCCCCAGCCACTTGGGCCAGATCCTCCGGGGGTATCCCAAGGCGCCCCCAGGCCAGCCGAGAAACATAGTTCCTCCAGCGTGTCCTGGGTCTCCTCCCGGTGGGACGTGCCTGGAACACCTCACCAAGGAGACGTCAAGGAGGCATCCTAACCTAATGCCCGAGCCACCTCAACTGGCTCCTCTCGATGTGGAGGAGCAGCGGCTCTATTCCGAGTCCTCCCCAGATGGTTGAGCTCCTCACCTCTAAGGGAGAGCCCAGACACACTACGGAGAAAACTTATTTCAGCCGCTTGTATCTGGGATCTCATTCTTTCGGTCATGACCCAAAGCTCATGACCATAGATGAGGGTAGGAATGTAGATCGACCGATAAATCGAGAGTTTTGCTTTTTTGCTCAGCTCTCTCTGCACCACAACAGACCGGTACAGGGCCCGCTTCACAGCAGACACTGCACCAATCCGCCTATCGATCTCCCACTCCATCTTCCCCTCATTCGATAACAAGACCCCAAGATACATGGGGCAACAGTGGCGTTGGATGTAGGAGTTTGCCCTGAAATCGAAGGATTGAAGGTTCAAGCCAAGACTCTGACTTTCAGTGTCGTTGTGTCCTTGGGCAAGGCACTACACCTGCATTGTCTACTGATGGTGGTCAGAGGGCCCGGTGGCGCCAGTGTACAGCAGCCCCGCTTCTGTCAGTGAGCCCCAGGGCAGCTGTGAATACAATGTAGCTTGCCACCATTGGTGTGTGAGTGTGTGCATGAATGGGTGAATGAATGTAGTGTAAAGCGCTTTGGTCAAGTCTCCTAACTTGAATAAAGGCGCTATATAAGTATATGCCATACTTAAACTCCTCCACTAGTTGCAGTACATCCTCCCCAACCCAGAGAAGGCACTCTACCCTTTTCCGGCTCAAGACCATGGTCTCAGATTTGGAGGCACTGATCCTCATCCTGGCCGCTTCACACTCTGCTGCAAACCGCTCCAGTGAGAGCTGTAGATCAACCCTGATGAAGCCAACAGGACCACATCATCTGCGAACAACAGAGATGCAATCCTAAGGCCACCAAGACAGATCCCCTCAACACCTTGGCTATGCCTAGAAATTCTGTACATAAAAGTTATGAACAGAATCGGTGAAAAAGGGCAACCTTGGCGGAGTCCAACTCTCACCGAAAACGGGTCTGACTTACTGCTGGCAATGCGGACCAGGCTCTGACACCGGTCATAAAGAGACATAACAGCCCCTATTAAAGGGCCCGGTACTCCATACTCCCGGAGTAGCCCCCACAGGACCCCCCGAGGGACACGGTCAAATGTCTTCTCCAGATCCACAAAACACATGTAGACTGGTTGGGCAAATTTCCATGCACCCTCCAGAATCCTGCTGAGGGTATAGAGCTAATCCAGCGTTCCACGGCCAGGACGAAAACTACACTCCTCCTCCTGAATCTGAGATTCGGCTATCCGATGGACCCTCCTTTCCAGAATCCCGGAATAGACCTTACCAGGGAGGCTTTAGAGTGTGATTCCTCTATAGTTGGAACACACCCTCCGGTCCCCTTTTTTAAATAGAGGGACCACCACCCCAGTCTGCCAATCCATGGGGAATTGCCCCTGATGTTCATGCAATGTTGCAGAGCCGCATTAGCCAACACAGCCCCACAACATCCATAGCCTTAAGGTAATCAGGGCGAATCTCATCCACCCCTGGAGCCCTGCCACCGAGGAGCTTTTTAACCACCTCGGTGACCTCAGCAACTGAGATGGGAGGACCCGACCCGGAGCCCCCAGGCTCTGCTTCCTTAATGGAAGACATGTTGGTGGGATTAAGGAGGTCTTCGAAGTACTCCACCCACCAACATACGACGTCTCGAGTTGAGGTCAGCAGCACACCACCCCCACTATAAATAGTGTTGGTACTGCACCGCTTCCCCCTCCTGAGACGCCAGATTGTGGACCAGAATTGATTCAAAGCTGTACGGAAGTCTTTCTCCGTGGCCTCTCCAAACTCTGCCTACGCCCGAGTTTTTGCCTCAGCGACCAGCCGAGCCACCTGCCGCTTTGACTGCCGGTACATGTCAGCTGCTTCTGGAGTCCTACAGGTCAATAAAGCTGATAGGACTCCTTCAGCTTGACAGCTTCCCTCACTGCTGGTGTCCACCAGCATGTTCTAGGGTTGCCGCTGCGACATGCACCGACAACCTTGCAGCCACAGCTCCGACTAGCTGCCTCAACAATAAAGGCACGGAACATGGTCCACTCAGACTCGATGTCCCCCACCTCCCTCAGGAACGTGTTCAAAGCTCTGCCAGAGATGGGAGTTAAAGCTCCTTCTCACGGGGGACTCTGCCAGACGTTCTCAGCAAACCCTCACAATACTTTTGGGCCTACCAAGTCTGACCGGTGTCCTCCCCCACCATCAGAGCCAACTCACCACCAGGTAGTGGTCAGTGTCTAAGACATGTGGCCGCAGGTCAGGTGAAACAACAACGAAGTCAATCATTGAACCAGGGCCTATGGTTTCCTGGTGCCAAGAGCACATATGGACACCCTTATGCCTGAACATGGTGTTAGTTATGGACAATCCATGACGAGCACAGAAGTCCAACAACAGAACACCACTCGAGTTCAGGTCAGGTGGGCCATTCCTTCCAACCACACCTCGCCAGGTCTCACTGTCATTGCCCAAATGAGCGTTGAATTCCCCCAGAAGAACAAGGGAGTCCCCAGGAGGGGCACTCTCCAGTACCCCTCTAAAGACTCCAAAAAGGTTGGGTAGTCCGAACTGCTGTTTGGTGCATAAGCACAAACAACAGTCAGAACCCATCCCCCCACACAAATGCGGAGGGAGGCAACCCTCTCGTTCACCGGGGTGAACCCCAATGTACAGGCACCAAGATGAGGGGCAACAAGAATGCCCACTCCTGCTTGGCGCCTCTCTCCAGTGGCAACTCCAGGGTGGAAGAATGTCCAGCCCCTCTCAAGGAGGTAATTCCAACTATTTCTAGTTGGAACTTTTCAACCTCAGGCACTAACTCAGGCTCCTTCCCCACCAGAGAGGCAACATTCCATGTCCCAAGAGCCAGCTTCTTCAGCCGAGGATCAGAACACCAGGGTCCCTGCCCTTAACTGCTACCTGTCACACAATGCACCCGACCCCTTTGGCCCCTCCTACAGGTGGTGAGCCCATTGGAAGGGGGGACCCATGTCTCCTCTCCGCCTAGGAATAGCATTTTTGCTATTGTTTTTGGAGACTCTCGGGGTGAACTCACTTTGACAGCCAAAGCTGGGCTTACTGGTGTTTGACTTGATTGTCTTCCACTTGTAGACTATCTGTTCTGTGGGAAAGCTCTTCTAATTCCTTATAAGACCCATGTTTAGATATACAAGAAAAACACAAGCTGAGGTAACGTCTCCTATTTCAGAGACACATGATGTATTCTGGTCAGTTTTATTGCTGTTTTTTAATTGATGGCTCTCATCCATGTTTATGGTTTTCACAGTTTTTCTCTCTCTGTGGTTCCCTGTGCTTTCTCCTCAGATCTCCTGTGTTGAGCAACAATGGATCCAGTCTGACGTTCCACATTCCCAGTACAGAAAAGAAAGGCATGTTCAAAGTCTGTGTCCTACTACCGGATGGAAGCTGTCACGGCCATCTTACAATTACGTATCAGTCATCACCAATCTGCAGAGATATTGTACCACCAAGCACCTGGAGGAGGTATTTCAATTTTTAAAACAAAATATATACCTTCACCAACACCAGAAGAAAAATAAGAAAAATAAGAAATTCTTCAATATTATAAATGTTTGACTTTGGTGTCAAACATTTATGTATTCATGTGTTTTGTTAAATAGTGCCTCAACCAGTTTCTGGGTTTGGATTGCAGTTACTTGTTCACACAAGGCAAAATTGGTTGTGGTATTTTTTCCACTAATTGATTTAATCTTTGATGGTATTAGCTATACCAAAAAAATTCTAAAACACATTTTAAAGCTCGTAAAGATATTTTCACAGCAGTATATAAGTAAATAAAAGTGTTTGGTGGATAACATTATATTATATACTAAAATACCTAGAATGAGAAGTTAGGAAAAGTCCATCTTTCCTCTGCTCTCACTGTTGATTTGTGTTCTACAGTGGGAAGAGGATGGTCACCCTTATTGGGACGAACTTACACTTGGTGGAGGGGATCACACACAATTACACCCAGCAGAAAGTCATACCTTTAAGGAGAAGCAACTTTCAGGTAACTGCAGATACACAATTAACCAGACAGAAAACAATGTTTCATGAGGAGGCATGAAATCATTTCTATGAGAGGTTTGCTAATAAAGTAAAGCTCAATGTGTCACAAGAACTGTTCAGATTCTTTAATCCCAGACTGGCGATGTTTTTATTTATGTTTCAGAGTCTCATTTATGAAACTCCTGCAGAAACAAATGCTGGGATGTTACGTAGCCCCGTGTTTCTGAAAGTAGCCAATCAGTCATTGAAATGTAAAAAAGAAATAATTTACTATCCTGACCCAAAGTTCACCAGCTACACAGCTGTGAGGGAAGGCAAGGATATCCGCATCACTATCCAAGTAAGACAATTTCTGCCACATATTTATTCACTTAAACATCTGGATATTAGATTATTAAAGGTGAAAATGCTTTTGGTATTTCAGAAAGAGCCAGATAAGCTGGAGATGAAACCAGAAGAGTTGGAGGTTTGGGTGATTCAAGGTGAAAAGCAACACCAGTGCATCGAAATATCCAAAAAAAGCAGCAATGAGACAGAAAGTTTCATCTGTGAGATGGAAGGACTGCAGAACTTTAACCAGATAAAGGTAAATCTAAATTTATGCTTCTCCAAAATTGGCATAGTTTAAGATTATAACTGCCAAACCATGACAAAATTCATCTGGAATCAGTCACCTGTTTTCTGCCACGTCTGGTTAAAACTTGTTTTTCCTACGTGGTGGGGACATTTTTCTGTTAAAATGCTACATTGTAGGGACTTCCACCAGGTTCCCTTGGGGAAGATTATTGTTTATGGCTCAGGTGTTAGATTCAGGTGGAATGACGAGAAAATGGCAGACGCAGAAGTAAACCCGGTGCAGCAATTAGCATTTAAACAGTTCATTGCTGCAGGTTGGGAAGGATTCACCAGAGTCAGCAACTGGAACTTCTGGAAGGAGATTGGACAGTTGAAGGACAAGACAGAAACAGAGGGCAATGTTTCCAATGTTGAATTCTGGTTCACTAACCTTCTCAGAGTTTGAGGACAATCTTAGAGTTTCTGAAGAGGTGGGCTGGCGTGCAATGTCACAGATCAATCTCTGACGACTCCTAACCAGGTTAGTTATAAGGATTCCTTCTTAGACAGCTACTCGTTGGTCCAGGGGAATGCAAAGCATCAGATCTGTGACTGCATATTCATATTCTGAATATGATCGGACTTTTCCTTTAGGAAAATTCACTAAAAGCAAAAATTTAATATGAAACACTTTGATTGTGAAATACATCAGTTATAGGCTTTGATGACTTCGTTTTAAAGCTTGTTTAAATAAAAATACCAACGTTAAGGGCATTTTTTTGTTGGTATTCTAATAGGAAGTATAGTTAAATCAAACTAGAACGAAAAAGTCCCATTTAGAATAGAATCAAATATAATACTTTATGAACTTTCATTGATAAAGGATGACCTGCCGGATTCGATGCGCTCTACTCTAGGTACTGTAAACTATATTAAAACTATGGCATGAAGTACACTTAAAAAAAATTTCATTGAAATTCAGGGAATTAGGAAAAATTTAAGTAAAATACTTTACTCAAGTAAAACTAAATCCAAATCATCTCAAAATTTACCTACTGTTTGTAATAAATTAAATTTCAGAGATACAGTTTCTTAGTTATTAAGCTTGAAGTCTGTTTAAATGATTCTGTTTATCTTTTAAGATCCGGTATGGAGGCAAAACAATAAACCTGTGGGAGTTGTCTTTTTTACATCAAATCCTTCTGATCATTCGGCTCTTGCTAATACCCTGCATTATTGCTGGTAGGTATCATGAGTGGGAATGACTGAAAGACTATAAATTCACTTCTTATTCCACAAAATACAAAACTCATTTTCTCTGCATTATCAACAAGAATGTTAAAGTCATGAATACAGGGGCAGATTTATGAAATATGGGGCCCTAGCCAAAGACAGGCAGGGGGCCCTCTGAACTGAGAAGACAACACATAAACAGCCCCATTCTACAGATATAGAAATGTTAATAGAATAGACATCCATTATCTGTTCTAGGTTGTGTCCCTCTCTTCTTGTCCCTTTTCTTCTTGTTTTCCTCTCTATGTTTTGTACTCAGCTGACTTTTCATGCTGTCTCTAAAGGAATGAAAGATTTTTTCCAAGCACTAAGCTCACTTAGCTGATTGCTCCTTCCTGTGTTTCCAAAAAGGCCAAAGTAAATACCCCAGTCCTTCTTTTCACTGTAGACAAGCCATGATCTGCTTATCTGTTCTCCATTTTTCATTTGGATGAAATAATAGCTGCATGAATCATGACAGCAGACAAGATAGAGGAGAGCAGGAGGCGGGGTTACCAATCTACTCGCTCTGGAGAGCAGAGTTCGCTGCTTTTAGATGTTGTCTCCAAAGTCTCCAGTAGCAGAAAAAAGTCTCTAGACTTTTTTCTGGCGCTAGGAGCTTTTTAGAATTCAAAGTGCTAGAGGGGTCTGAAAAGTGGCTAAATATAGCGACTAAAGCGCTAAGTTGGCAACACTGCTCTTTGCATGGTTTGTTTTCAAATGGTTTGCTGCTGTCTGTTTGGACCTTTCTGAACATGTGCAGCAAATGGAGTATTGGGTGGGGCTGAGACACACTTAATTTTATAAGTGTTATGAGCAAATTGATTTTTATCAAAAACATAATGTGCACAAAAAAGGAATAGTTGTATTAACCATACATGTAAAAGAAGTTTTATGGGGCCCCCAGGAACTTGGGGCCCTTGGCAACTGCCTGGTTTTCCCTACTTGTAAATCTGCCCCTGCATGAATGTCATGTCATATCACACTTTCCAGCACTCAATGTTATAGAAATAATGTGAAGGAAATTTTGATTTAATCTGTTATAATAATCAAGATCATTGTTTTTACTCAGAAACTGTTTGTCTTTCAGTTCTGGTGAAAATTTGCTGGTGGAATAAGAGATTCACTGCTGAAACAAACCATCTCTGATCACCTGACTTTTTCAGGAAGTAAAATTTCAGTAAAGCGAGTATTTTCTGTGTTTATCCAATTATTTGTACTAATGAAATGTCTGTAGTTCTGTATGTAGAGGAATTCCACGCTGTATTTATCAAACCAGCTTCCTACTTAGAAATCCCTTTATATCTTTTTTTTAATTAGAGTTTTCATAGCAGTCTACTTGGCAAAGCAAGAAGTTCGCTTTAATGTTTGTAACATTTTGTTGTGCTTTTCAAACATTGTTTCCAGCTTTTATTGTCATTCCATTGTCACAAGTACAGAGCAACGAAATAAACTCTCTGCATTTAGCCCATCCCCTTAGGGAGCAGTGGGCTGCCATTGTGCGGCACCTGGAGGCAAGTGTATTAAGGGTCTTTGCTCAGAGACCCAGAGTGGCAGTCTATGGGAGTGGGGTTCTGACTCAGAACCTCAGCATTCCAAGCTCTATGCTCTAACCACTAGACCACCATCCCCCCCTTAGCTGTACCTGGTAGTAAATAAATATCTGTTCAAATATACTTATTAACTGCTCTAACTGTCCTAAATGTTGTTCATTTTTATTATAATTACATGTATTTCTGAATAAAGGACAAAGGCTTTCAAATGCTTATAAATCCTTTCCTTAATGATAAGTGAGATCAACCATCAACTGATTGTATAAATGTTGGACAACACAGAGATGTTCAGGTGATGAAGCCTCATAGAACATTTTTAAGGCGTTCTTTTTAACTTTTCATTATATCCTGTGGTTGAAATTAGATCAGAGTATTGCTACCCTTCAGTTAGACAAGGTGTTTGACAGACATTTTAAAATAAATCATATATCAGTTATTTGCAAGTGAAAAAGATTATACACAGATACTGAGATTACCTGGAGTGGACATTTCAACAAAGTGAGTCAAAGCTCAGACTATGCGATACTAAAAAAGAGCAAAAATGAGAAAACTCCAGCTTTAGTTGCTGATGAAGATTCTCAGTCATCCAGGTCTTAGTCAGTCCAAGAAAGTAAAAAAAAACAATCCACTCGACTTTGCTTCCAAGTTTGAAGATGTTTTGCTTCCCATCCAGGAAGCTTGTTGAGCTACTGTATAAAACCTGGAACTCAACACTATGAGTTCCACATTTTGAATTTAAAAAGCTTCCTGGATGGGAAGAGAAATGTCTTCATACTTGGAGACAAAGTCAACTAGGTTGATTTTATTTTTACTTTTCCAGCTTTATGCTGATGAAGATTCTCAGTCATCCAGGTCATAGTCATTCCGTAAAAGTTTAAAAACCAATCCACTGGACTTGGTTTCCAAGGTTTGAAGACGTTTCGCTTCCCCTCCAGGAAGCTTTCTCAATTGAAATTTTTGGATCCACAGTGAGGTTGAGTCTTTATATAGACAAGGCCTTGTATTGCTTGGAAACATGCAAATTGTCTATATAAAGACTCAAACTCACTATGGATCCAGACATTTCAATTGAAAAAGCTTCCTGGAGGGGAAGCTGAAGTTTTAGGATGGAAGACAGCTTGATGATATGATGGTACAGAAGAAAATCCAACACAGTCAGGCCGTAAGTAAGGATGAGTGGAAAATAAGTATAAGAAAGTTTTACTGATTTTTTACAGAGAATTAAATTATAATTTTTTGGTATTTACTCCTTGAGAAAAGTTAGATTGTCCGGCAGATTTTCCTTGCCTGTCTGTTCTTGACAAAATCACTGTTTTCTGGATTTATCACCTTGCTCACGTTGGATATCTCACTGATTTTTCAAGAAGACGGACATCAGAAAGTTTTATCAGATCTATTTGCAAGTATATCACGCAATCTTGCCTAGAGCTGCCATGTTTACTAAAACAAGAAGGAAATAATCATCTGGTACCTTAGCATCTGTTTTGTATTAACCCTGTCCTGTTGAGGGTGCCGTGGTAATATATTTGTGTATATTTTTCATGATTCTAATCACTTGTCTTTTTCTACATTTATAGATGGAATCATAAATGAGGCAGCCAAAGAAAACTCCATGAGAGTTAATGCTGCAGAGTATCTGCACCATGCACTGCAAAGGAGTGAAAGTGTGGGACCCAAAGCTGTTACACTGGACTGAGAAACCACTTTTTTTTCTGGTTAAGCTGGTTTGGTTTTCTAAGTAGTTTCATATTAGAATGAGAAATGTATCTTTTTTCTGTTTGTGGTCTGGTTATTAACCCAGACCCAAGCATGACATGGTGTATCAGAAAGCACAAGATTAATTTCCACTGATGATACTCAGCTTTATCTGTCTATAAATCAAGATGAAGCTAACCCATTACATTGATTACAGGCATGTCTGAACCAACTACCAGTTTTAGTCTGTGAGGCAGACACCCTGTCTACTTTTAAGGCTAGGCTTAAAACTTTCCTTTTTGATAAAGCTTCTAGTTAGAGTGGCTCAGGTTATCCTGAGCTATCTCTGTAGTTCTGCTGCTATAGGCTTAGACTGCTGGAGGACATAGGGACCCCTTTTTCATCATTCTGCTTCATTCTATCTCTAATCTCCCACTCTGCAGAATCTGTTAGTTCAATCTCTAACGTTCTGCTCTCTCTGCTTTTTCTCATAGTAGCTTCATCTGGTCTGTTCCTGTTTGGCTGTGACTCCATCCTGGAGAGATGGAGTCACCAGAGCTATTTCAGTGCTATGATGAGCTCTAAAGCCAGACTGAAACTCTTCAAAAAGTTCATAATGGTGGAAGCGATCGCACACTTGTTTGGCAATTATTTTCTCCAAGAATTTTAGAGAAGAAAGGAAGACTGGATATAGGTCTATAATTGACCAAGTCATATGGGTCAAGAAACAATTTCTTAAGCAAAGGTTTAAGTCCAGCAGCCTTAAAAGCCTTTGGTACATATCCCTGTAACAGAGATAGATTAATCACATCTAAAATGGAGGAGGACATCAAAGGGAATACCTCCTTAAATAACCTGGTTGGAGCTGGATCTAACATACAAGTTGAAGGCTTAGATGAAGACAATAGTTTTGCTAAATCTGAAAGATAACTGGATCAAAGCAGTCTAAAACCGGTTCAGATTCTATGGCTACCTCAGATGCTGCCCCACCCTGCAGAGAAAAAACAATCGTGGATAGAGGAGTGCTAATGATCTTATATTTAATAAGATCAATCTTATTTATAAAGAATCTCATGGAATCATTACTTCTAAAAGCAGGTGGAATGGATGGTTCAACAGAGCTATGGCTCTGGGTGAGTTTGGCAACTGTATTAAAAAGAAATCTAGGATTATTCTTATTCTCCTCTATTTATGAGGAGAAATATGCTGCATATGTCCGCATCTTTGTATGACTCGATTTTAGTCAGGGACAGTTGCTGAAGTTTCACTAGCGCTCCGTGCCTGTCGGCCAATGACGCACCGAGTAGAGCGATATTACGCCTCATAGAGTCCTGCTGTTATTGGTTAAGACCACATGGGCTTTTTGCCTTTGTAGTCAATGAATTAAGATTTCAAACAAGGCTAGACATGGCTGGGTTGCATAAAGCAGAGCCGTGTTACCGGTTTGCTTACAATGCTCCGATATTTTTGAAGTTTGGATGCTGATTATGTTTTATTACAATATGTAAGGCCGAAAAAAACAAACAAAATACCACTCAGAAAAGGCATTGGAGCTTATTTTAACATGAAAAGCAGCAGTTTCACTATTTTTTTTTTATAGATTTTTATGTTATTTTAGGGTTAATGTTATATTTTGTTATATTCACAGATTCTGATTCCGGAAAAATATTTGCTTCATAAATGTTTTGTGGCCAGTGTTGTTCTATGGGTCAAATACTTGTGTAAAAGCATTTGGCACATTTGTAGAGGTTTGGAGACGCTGGTGACACCAAAAGTTCAAAGCCCTACATCTACGGAAGTGTTGTAGCTAGAGGTCTGAAATTTTCTGCATTTGTGGTTGACATGATGTAGAACAAATGTAATACAATGAGACATACCTATTTTCAAGCATGTCTTTATTACTGCTGTTCAAAAAAGACCTATTATTTTTCGAGAATAAGAAAAACAACTTTGAGTCATGTTTGAACTGATGCAGCTTGGGCTGTGTTTTACTCACCCAGTTTTCATTTATATTTTCAGAAACTAGAAGTTGTTTGCTTTCAAATAATTTATCACACATGTAATTTGGGCTTACAGTTCATCATTTATTGGCTTTTCCGTTTGGGTATGCAAACTAGGCAAGGATTACTTCAAATGAGGTGGGTGTTAAGAGCTAGTAGATCTCTAGCTCAGTGGTGCTCAATCCTTGTCTTCAAGTGCTACTCAAGTACTTCTGCCCTGCAAGAGCAGATTCTGTCAGATCATTAATTTGTTTTTAGCAAATTCTTCTGAAAATAAACTGAATAATCTGTAAGTAAATTAAGACGATTGCACTTGTTTCTTGAAATCATGATGTAAGCATTTATAAATCACAGTCGTCTCTTGCAGATCATTGCATCCATTTTGGAGTAGAATGTGGAGTTTTTTCTTTAGATTTTAAATGTTGAAACTGAATCAAAATGTGGAAAATGAATTGATCTCTGTTTCATCACAAATCAAAATGTTAATCTAATTACACATTTTTCTGGCATCTTCCATTGGTGATCAGATTTTTGTCTTTTTTAATAGAATTGTTCCTCTTGTGAAGTCGTTTATTTTGTAGTTTTACTGCTTGGATTGAAATCAATGAGTTCCTCCAAAAAGGCTCCCCTCTTGTGAATAAAATCGAGTAGAAAAATGGAGAACAGGTTTCTGTTTGTATCTGAAGAACAGAACCAGCTCTTTCAGCGTTGTTTTCCTCTGCAGCCTCCGACTGCTTTTCCTCTGTTTAGTCCTTTGGAGCAACTTGGGAAGTTTTATTTGGCATGATGACGTTCTTCACTTTCTTTATTGTAGATAATATGGTGGTTCTTAAAGTTTTACATTTTAGTTTAGTGTTTTCTAAATAAATAAAGACAACTTTAGGTAATTGCTGATTGTAAACCATAAACATTAACAAAACATCTGATATCTCGGCCATAAATGTTTCATGAAGCTTAATG